TGGTTTTGCCGTAACGGTCGAAAAATCGATCGTTCTGATTCTGACTTGCTACTGCTATTTTCAGTCGTCCGTACTGTTCTGGATCTCCGGATGATCGTCCGATTCGACAGAAAATTTTATGTTTTCAACTGTTATAAATACAAACTCACTTGCCATTTATTATAACAACTTGAAAGCATTCAAGTGAGATTTTTTGAGCAAAATTGTATTGATTTCTCAACTCATTCATTCTCATAAAATCTTTTTTGCTTTAAAAAACTTTAGATCAAATTAACTTTTGAAAATCATTCTGCACATTAAAGTTTTTCATACCTAACACTTGAGTTTCATTCGTTACTATTTATTAAAGTGTTATCATATTTCTCTTGGTACTTAATTGTGATCATATCATTTATTAAGAGACAAGTTTCAATTTATAAAATCAATTTTCTTCAAACTTGTGGTCGTGTTGAGATCCCGTAAAGATCAACGTTGTATAAGGATCGGTACTCCTTGGTTGTAAGTCACCGAAAACTTAGTAAATGGTTGGATTGCACTACATGTCAATCAGCACAGTGAAATGACATTGCTGTTGGAGAGCTTGATAACGGATGACGTAGATTATTGTGTTGGATTGAACTTTCATAATTATATCGATTGCATTTTATGTTCCTCTTTATTTATTGTTTTTATATTCGTGGTTATTACTTGAATTAATCTATCTAGTTATTAAGAGTGTGTTTGATAGGGATTTTTGGGGGAAGAATTGATTTTTGAATAGTGATATGATGGGAAATGTGTGGTTGAAAAAGAAGAAAAAAGTATTGATGTGATGGAAAATATTATTTTATTGAAGAATGTGTGGTTGAAAATTTTTGGAAGATCGGCTTGTTTGGGATAAACGATGATAATAGAAATATTGAGTGTGTTTGGTAGGGATTTTTGGGAGAAGAATTGATTTTTGAATAGTGATATGATGGGAAATGTGTGGTTGAAAAAGAAGAAAAAAATATTGATGCGATGGAAAATATTATTTTATTGAAGAATGTGTGGTTGAAAATGAGAATTGATTTACTGTAGAAAATGAGAATCTGTACCAAACAGGCTCTAAGTACTTAATATTAGATTAAAATTTCGAAAAAGTGTTAAGAACCAATTCACCCCCTCCCCCGGGTTAACTATTCTTGGACTATCACATATAAACGAGAAATTAGGTCATTATCGAAATCTTGAGATTATTATAGTAAAATTGAGGGGAAAATAAAGGTAGGTCAAGATCCTAATTCCATCTTTATTCATTTTGGAATTCAATGCAATTAAATTAAGTTATATTTAAAAATGAATTTTGTGTGAAAGCGTCCTTCGAGTCTTCGACCTTCATTTTTTAAAAATCATTTTTTCACGAACTCATTTATTTTTAACTTTTAATTTTTAGTAATCAGTTTAACTAAATTGATTATTACGAATTGTTGATCCAAGCAATTAAACCCCGCAAGACCCGCTTATTATGACGGGCTAACCTGATCAAACCCATTTTGCTTTAAGAATGGCCCGATCTATTTCAAACACTGATGCAACCAGCCCCCACCCCCTTCCGAAATTGGGACAGGGAAGATGCGTATCCTACACGTCAATTCCAACCAACTTCATTTATAGGGAAATTACAAAAATGGCCAATTTCATGCCGTTCAATTGAAAAATGTCTAATTTTCATAAATTTTGCAAAAATAGTCAATTTCGATACCAAATTATCTATTTACCCTCAATGAAAATGAAGCATTTTTTTTCAATTTGTCACAAATTTCGAGAAGAGCAGGTAGCTTCCATGAGATTCTACATTAATACTAGCTAATATTTAATGGATTCATTTGTTCTTATTATCTATTAGGTATTGATCAAGAATTTTGGAAAAAAAAAATGAAAAAGATGCAGTAGAAAAGTAATTAACACTAAAAAAATAATTATATGCTAAGAAAATCATATAGTTTTATTTCAAAAAATTTGATTTTATCCAAATTTGCAGTTGATTAGGCTTTCCACAATTCACGGTAGAAGGTAATTTTTTTTTGAAATCTTGTTTTTGTTGATAACTTTTGTTTAATACTTATTATTCTTGACATTTCATAACATTCTTGACATTTAAAAGTGTTATCAACATTTAGACCCTATTTATCATGACACTTAACACTTCATTTGTTTAGAATCGTTCTAAACATGAGAGATCTCTACATTTCATAATATTCTCGACATTTTAAGTGTACTTCTCGACATTTCATAAATATTTTATTTACCGACTTATAGGGAGAAGTGAGCATTTAATGCATAATTGACATTATACTTTTTAAAAGGAGTCGTGTGGGTTATATGTCAAGTTATTATTGATAAATACAATTTTTAGTTATATAAATAATTTGGTTTTCATTGTAGAATTTAGGGCTATCCTTGTGTCGGTTTGATTTGGTTCTGAAGAGAATCAAACCGACCCAAAACTTTCGAGTATTTAATAAATGGAATCGTCGGGTGCAAATATAATTATGGAACCGTTTGAGTTCGGTTCCATTCGTTTCAGTTCGGTAATTAATTTTTTTAATATTTACAGTAACACTACATAAATACAACTAATGACATTTCATTCATAACTTTTACAAATTAACGTAGCTCAATTCAAAAACATATAAATAACTAGCCGTCCAATAAAATTAATTCAATGCATACAAATACCAAAAAGTAAATATTAATATTACAGCAACACTATATAAAGTAAATTCATTTGCTTCAAACAGCATATATG